AAACATTTCTTCTTATTGTTATTAATTATTATTTTATATATATATATATATATATATATATATATATATATACATATAATTTTTTTTTCCAAACATTAAAAACATTTAACACCAATATGTCCACTTCACTCTGCAGTTATCCATCAAAACTGACATCTGACAGGCCTGAAGAATGCCTGATATAGAACAGAACATGCTGTGTGAGGTTACTGTACATGGAAACCTGCAAAATCAGAGATACAATGGAGATTAATTGGTGTACTGGACATGTTTCAGGTTTTGCAAAATGACATGACACTTTTTTCTAGCCCCTAATATTCTTCTTTTTTGTTCCACAGAACAAAGAAAGTCAAACATGGGTGTGTTTCCAGCACAGCAAATGTGCAAAATGTATTGTTCACCATGCAGTCGTGGAGTACAAACTTCTGCAAAGCAGAGATCAAATTAATGTCAAATTACTGCTGTAAATAACGAACATACCTGAGGACATCTTCGCTATTTTTGTTCTCCTGTTGTTTTCCAGATGTTTGATTCAATTGTGGGTTCTCTTCAAAAATGGTGCTTTCAATCTTTTGATAAATTAAAAGGCATTAAATGAAATGTGCATATGCAAAATGCAATATGTGGATATTAGTGTATGCTAGCTTGATTTTTCTTCATAAGCATTATCTCATGAAGAACTTTGAGTACATTTTGGTTTTGTCAGAATTTTCATTTTTGAGTAAACTGCTTTTTTTTAACCATTAGCTGTTATTTCAGCCTGGATGACACTGAACAGGAAAATGGGCTATTTGCACAATTGATGTTGCCTGTTTGCATCTGCCAAGAGTAGTTATGCCATTCAGAAATCTTCTTGCATCCTACCCAAAACTGACCCAGGATAAAAACAATCCCCATCCACACTGATCCAGGGTCAGATTAACGTCTACACACTCTGATCTGCTGCTCTAATCTAATAAACTGAAGAGCGAAACTGACCCAGAGAGCAATCCTTCTATAATATGCTTTCTCAAAAGTGCACCATGCTGTTTATTTCCTCATAAGCGCCAATTGAAAAGGTCCCTAATCCAATAGTGTGAAAACTAGAATCTTCTAGAGAGGCATTTTCAGATGTTGCCTCATTCTTTTCAAGTCCAATTAATTTTCTTTCAGCAATAAAGCTTACATCTTCATGGTTGACACTGCAAAGCAGCATCTTATGATTTTATATTTCAGAGATTTCAAAAAGTCCTCACCGCTGCCACTGCTACTCCCCCCTCCTGCAATCAATTTCATGTAACTTTGTAATATTGCAATAATTTGGGCTCTTGAGTTAATGTCTCTTAAAATGCTCTTCTACTATTAGCAATTAAGTATGCAATTAAGAATGTTTACATGATGGAATTCTGGAGTAATGGCAATTTACTTCAGATCCCACTAATTAAAAAGGAGCTCGGAATAACATGATTTTGCTTTATTGATAATTTGATGACTTTCGGCTCTGGGTTTGATTGTGTTATGACTTAATTTGGCTTTAATCATTTGATATCAGTTTTGGCTGTAACCGAAAGGCTGAATGCAGACAAGCAGTATGAGATTCATTTTTTATTTTTTTTTTGTCTCCCCTCATTTTCATTATATCTGCATAATTTATTTCATCAGCAGCAATGTGTAATTAAAGTGTAATTAAAATTTCCCAATTTAAAGTTTGATCATGAAAAGCTTGAAGTGGAAGGCAGCTGACCTGTTGTGCACTTGAAGTCACGACCTAAACAATCAAGAGCCGCTTCCATCTGTGTGCTTATGTGTTTGAGTGTGTAATATTGGTGTATATGAACCACTGGCTTTATGCATTAGTATCATTAGTTCTCTACATGCTCAGACTACTAGTTCTCTGATTTTAGATGCAACATATACTAAATCAAACACTTTGTCAAGATAATACTATAATATGTCAATGTTATAATATAATACACTCAAAAAAAAACTGTTCAATAAACATTTACACAAAATTATTATTTTTTCCTACAATATATTTGTTGTACCCATGTTCATACAAGACAAACCACAGTATGCATGCCGTTAAATTACATTGTGTCAACGTAATTTAATATAGTTCCACAATTATTGTATTAGTTTTTCTTTTTTTGGAGGGGGTGAAGGGGTACAGCATATATACCCCCCCCCCCCACACTTTTATTGGTATAACCTAGTGTAGTCAAGTTGATTTAGACAAAATGTATTTATTTTATATTTTTTACTTAAATGCTGATTTTGTTGTTGTTGTTGTTAACTCACTTTTTTTCACAGTTTATAACAGCTCTGCTTTGCATCGTGCCTAACAACGCCCCTTAACTGCTATAAATTCACTGTAAACCACGGCTTCTTGGGGCTTATTGCTTTAATAATGCACTATTGTTGTGATTTTAATAAAACACACATGCAACACTTGCAACACAAAATGTGTTCCAATGCATTTTGATACTATAGTAAAACAATGTTTAACACGACTATGATTGGTAAAACCTTAGTATTCTTTAAAGTACTTAAAAGTTCATTATTATTATTATTATTTATGCATTATTATTACTAATAATCACTAATAATATTTTTCTTAATTCTGTATGTACATTTTCCAACCAAACCAATAAATACAAATCTTAAAATGATATGAGATTATATGAACACTGGGCATTAAGATGAAATATGGATGTATGGATATGGATATCCTATGTGTGCATTCTGAAGAAACAGAGTTATGGGATTTTCCATCAGTTACATTTCTAAGCCTCAAACAAGCATTGTTATTATTTTTTGTGAAAGGAGCTGTTGCACAGAGTGACAGTCGAGAGCAACAGCAATAATGACTGCAGTGTGTGTGTGTGTGTGTGTATGTGTGTGTTCATCACTGCCTCAGAAGTATTACTTATATTAAAACAAGCAGCTGTATGAAAGAGCTTATTAAAACTTCAAACTTGTACTCAAACTCAATATATAAAGCCAGAAAACAAGAATGAGAGACAAAAAGAGAGTGAGAGACAGAGAAATAGAAAGTCACAGACCACAGATGCATCTTGTTCCTTTGGTGTGGGTGGAGGGCTGCCAGCATGTCCTATAAGACCGCTAAAGTCAGGCGAGAAAAAAATAATAATAATAAAAAATAAAAAAAACAGACAGCGAGATCAAACATGGGATAGAAGGGAAAAGAGGGAAGGTCAGAAGAAGCAGAAAAGGACAAACAGATACTTAATGAAATGCACTGTGTGTGTGTGTGTGTGTGTGTGTGTGTGTGTGTGTGTGTGTGTGTCTGTCCACGCCACCCCTGCTGCTGGCATTCATCAACTATATTAATCAATGTGTCAGCCTTCAATCCAATTAGATTAACTCCGTTCTACCTGTAAACACATCATCACACTCACCTGCCAGGTTCCAGAATAACTACATCATCCAAGTAAACAACAAAAGCCTCTAATAAAGACAATGTGAAAAGTAGAACAACAATGTCAAGTTTTTGATCACTGATATCTCACTGATATAAAATAACATGCAACCAACAAATCAGGGTGACTTGTGAAACCTCTTAAGGCTGTAACACACCAAACCGGCAACAACGAGCTAGCGGCGATGAAGGTTGACAACATTTGAAAAGCTTGAACAGCGATAACTACAGTCAACGGTCAACTAATATGTAAGTTCTGCACTTGTGTGAGAGAAAATAACTGTCTATATCAGCTAGTGGCAGTAGTATATGTCATTCTAGATGGCAGTTATGGAAATAAATCCCAGGTAAGATGACCAAGTTAGAGCAGCTTTTTGAACTCATCATTTGCTCACTTTCATCATTTTTGCTTTTCTTCTCATGCATTTGTTCACTAAGATCATCAGAGTGATCGGTCACACCAAATGCCTCACACCGATTCAACACGCTCAACTGGCCAAAAAGCCACAGACAGTGTGGAACCAACCACACAAACTGAGCTGACAGATGCTCAACAACAGCCTTTAGATGTTAGCAAAAATTCAGCCATCCTGAAAAACACTACTTTCCCCATTTATAGGAAACATTTAAAATAATTGGCAGATCTATCTTGTTTACTTTCAACTATGACCTCAAATTAAATGCTTTAATTTCTCTCAAAAATTCAATACCATGAATTTTATTCTAACAAAATCGCACATCAAGAAAATTTAATGAGATAAAAAAAGGTAACACTATTTCGATAGTCCACTTTAGACATTCTATTAACAGTAAGTAACTTTGCAACTACATGTCAACTAGCAGTTAGTAAAGTATTAGTAGACTGTCTGCTTAATATCTTCTAACACTTTCTTTGTCTACTTATTCTACTAACCCTAAACCTACCCTAACAGTCTACTCTGAGAGTTAGTAGACATGTAGTTGCAAATTAATGAGAATTAGTTGACATGTAGTTGACATGTAGTTACAAAGTTACTTATAGTTAGTAGAATGTCTAAAGTGGACTATCGAAATAAAGTGTAACTCTTGTCCATAGTCGCCATATTCAAACCTAAATCTGTGGTGTGTTTTAGGTCATAACTTTGCTAATGATTAAGTGGCTCCCAACTATGACATATTGCCTGTTCCGTGCCATAAATCATGCATAATGTCTTAATTTGTGTCTTACAAATACTCAGTCGTCAGACCAAAGATTATACATTTAATAATATTTTGCTCCCTTGTTATATTTTCAGAACCATTTTTTTTTCTCAAATAGTGCAGAATCACTCAATCTCTTTTGCACCTTTTAAAGGGTCAATGACAAAAGAAAAATAGTTATTGTTTTTATTCTAATGTTAAAACATTAGATTAAAAAATACTCTTTAAGATATAAACTTAAACTCTATAAGATAAAATGGTACAAACATCAAAAGAAAAAGTAAAGTAAAAATAGTCAAATAGAAAAAAAGTTATATTTAGTATAATTTTATTTGAGCAAATTTCATGAATTATTGTTTCAAAAATATTTCTTATTTTGAACAGTCGCACCATAAAACATTGGATTGATTGATTGATTGGTTTTTATTATGGTCAGTTTTATTTACAAATCCTAGCATCAAGTAGGGTTACACAACTATTAATTTTCACTGCCTATCTAGAAAAGTGCTTGACTATTTAACAGGCCAGTGTTTATGGAATCATTTTACACTAGATGAAGTTGCTAAACTAACTAACAAATAGTTGGTGCAACACAACATCAGATGCTTCACTAGGTGAGGGTGAACTCTTTTGGACAAGAATAAACCGCAAAGTGGGCCAGACTTTACACCGATGGTCAAAAGTCTGGCTATTTGAGGTTCGTTATTAATATGCTGGTAGTTATGAGTAGATTTCTACTCAGTCACACAGCTGTCAAATACACATCTTTCAAACACACTCAGACTTGCAGATATGTCTCTAAACCTGCGGCAAAACTCCAGTTGCATAACAAACATCAGAATAAAGCATCATGGCATATTCAAGCCGTAGGGTTTTGTTCTGGTTTATTCCTCTTATCCTCTTAAACTCCTCCACAGCTCTGCATATGGACAGATGAACTCAATATAACGATGTGTTATTGAGACACTACAATTCCCAGAGTCCCTTGCAGCTTGCAGTCATCATTTACTAAAAGGAAAGAGCTAATCCACACCTTAACACTTGTATCTAATGATTCCAGACTTGATAATTAGTATGTGTTAGTTACTTATTATGTCAATGTAGGAAGTGTCGAAGCAAATCCACTGAGAATCAAGAACCCCTATGTGACTGACATGTACATGCATGTTGCATTTTGCCCTGGAGATGTTTTTCAGACTTACTGTATATATATATATATATATATATATATATATATATATATATATATATATATATATATATATAAAATAAAAATTCAGTTTGCTGGTGAGTACCACAGAAACCATTGGGCTCCACTGACAAAAGTTTGAATAGCACACAAGAAAAATCTGGAAGAGTAGATGTCCTTCACTCCTAAAATAATAATGGTTCTTTATTGGCATCTGTGGTTCCATGGATAACTTTTAACATCCATGGAACCTTTCCATTGCACAAAAAAATTCCATAAAGTGGAAAGAGGTTCTTAACCTTATTCAGATGTTTTTAACACTGTAAGAAGAAAAGGTTATTTTAAGAATTATTTACTAAAATAGTATTTGTGGAGTCCAAAATGGTTATTCTATGGCATTCTGTTAAACCCTGCACACTAGCTCCATATTTCTGCTTTAATAATACATAAACTTATTAAAAGGGACAGGAGCAGGAGATTCTGTTCTCTGTGATCTACAAGCGTAACTCACCTCAAATAGCCATATCCTCTGTGTCTAAAAGGAGGATGAGATCTCAAGTGCAGCCTCTTTAAAAACACTTGCTCTATTGATACACTGTCTTGTGCACTTCATGCTATTTAATAATGATAAAAAAAAAAAAATCACTGTGTTTTCGCCAGCAATATTTTGAATTGATGCAACCTGATCTTAACTTAAATGGGACTCTGCATACAATGTGTTTAAGGGTAAAATAACCAGTACTCAGCTAAAAGTGACCATCTAAAAACACTTTAAAACATAAATGTGTCAATGAGATAATGTGTCCCTTCAATCATATTTATTCTTCAATATGATTGGCTGATTAACCTACAGATTAACGACAATGAACATCTCACGCTTGCATACATCATTCTAAATTGGTCAAACTGCTGAAAAAAAGACTAACTAATTACAAAGTAAACTACTCGCCCACTCAGATGTCAACATTTTAGTTAATGTACAGTATGAATTCAAATTAAATTGACTTCAAATGGTCTGAATGAGTCGGTGTTTAGTGAGCACTTAGCTCTGTTGACCAAAGTGTATCGTGTGATCATAATGACATCAGTGAGGCACCATGGATATACATTGAATTAAAAAACAAAACAAATCAAAACATGAAGAGAAGCCTTTGCGTCTTCATTTCTTAAGTCAACCACACACATATTTAAGTCATATACTGATGAGAACAAAGAGGATTAATGGCTTTATCAATAGAGCTGTTCAGTTTGTACTCTTAAAATGTGGACGATAATTAGCATTTTGAGCCACTGGGCTCTTTCAGAAAATGTCTAATGGGCTTTTATATAGTCATTTCCAATTTATGAGTAAAATATGGCATGTGGTTAACATCACTTTAAAGAGACTTTCAAATGTTGTTCTACAATCTTTGAAAGTCAATGTTGTTCTATAAATCTTTGTACATTAGATATTTTACCATGATTTACAGAAGACAGCTACTAAAATGTCATTCAGTGTAACAATAGTTCATATACCTAAAATCTTGTCATGCATATTTAGAACAAAAATCACTGGATGGCATTAAAAGACTCGCAATGCAGCCATTAAAATACAAGTTAATGGTCATTTTACATATTTTTGCCAGTATCCTTCAAACCACCGTTTATAAGCAAGACGTTTAAAATCTTTTAAATTGTAATAAAATGTAGTATGATCCATTTTTTCTTTATATATTTTACTAAATATAGGTCACAATAAGTATGTTGTTTAATTTTTACATAAATACAGTACATCAGTTACACAGAATGATGATGAAACAATATTTCACCCATATTTTGACATTTTTCACAAAAAAGTTATTTGAAGTAGAAACTTTACTTGCGTTTAACAAGCTTTCTGTGTATATAAAATTACTTTTTATAAATTTAACTTGATGCGCACACTAAAATAGAGTATCTGGGTTTGACCCAAACACAACTTGACTTCGGTCAAAATTCAAATGCATTCTGTGTGCTCATGTGTTTTGCTTCCCAATTATTAGTCGTTTGATGGAATTAGCCAGCTACTGTCAAACTGCATGCAAAGTTTGTACTTAATGAAGATTATCTGATTAATTGCTTTCTTAGAATATATATTTTTTTGCTTCCGTTTAGTCCCTTAATACTTCATTTAAAATGATCTGAATTTAATTCGATTTTAAAATGAATTTATTATGAAGCTGTCAGGGTAATCTGATACTATTTCTGTAAATCATTTTTTCTTTCTTTTTTTACTGAAATAATTTTTTTTAATACTGATGACTGATATTTGCTAAGGTACATTAATTCCCTAGCAGTATAAGGTCACCATACACTCTGCATTATTAAGTAAAAAAGTTGGTGGTTAATGCAAATACCAAACAGCAATAACTGTGCTGCAATTCAAATATAACGCATATAAAGATTGTAAAGTGTAGTTTGGTTAAAAGTTGGAAGATCATACTTCACCTGAGTGACTTTAACTGAAATTCAAATCTGGTGGTTTCCGTTTGTCAAAAACAGAAGTGGTTGAAACCTTGCTGTATTTTTTAGTCATTTTAAGACTTGTTTATAGGCTAAAAGCCCATTATAAGAGGTAAAGACCAGGATTCACTTTTGGCTAGACACAGGGAGGTCACATTTTTTAGGGGTTGAAATTAGATATTGCTATTTCTCTTCCAAAAATGACTCTCCTGAAGGTACAAAATGTCACTTCACAGCTTATCTCCACTAAAGCCCTGCTTATAATCTGTCTTAATTAGTGTTAAAAAGTTGAGATGTAGCATGGCTTGTCATAGCATATAGCAACAATTTCATCGCATTCCCACTTAATGTGCGCATATCTTGAGAGCCGACACTAGAACATGTTATGAAAACATTTGTCCATCAGCTGAAGGGCTGGGAATAGAGACTTGAGCCGTGCCTGAAAATACTATACAAAGTTGAAAGTCATTTCATTTTTATTCGAGCCTTTGCCAAAGTGTGTCTTTTTGTCTCACTTTGTATCTTTTGCCTTATTCTATATTTATGAATATGTTGCAGCCTTTAGTGTCTCCTCGTAGTTTCGCTTGTTTGTGTAAGACTGTAGAAAAGATCCTGGACTGAGGAATGGTGTTATGTTTATCAACAACGTCCGTCACAGTGCAAGTGTGTAAGAGTGTTTGGCAAAGGCAAACTGCTGAAGTTAACACGTTAACTTAGAATGTTATAAAATATGTGTGAAATCAGTAATTGTATGTAACGTCATTAACACAGTTACACAATTGGACTTTTTTGCCCTGTTCTGTGTGATTTTCAAAGACATCAGAGGTGTTTCTGTATAATACAAAAGCGCACATGGTGATGACTTAGCCAAATTCTAATTGAAATCTAGATGAGACTTAGACTTGCAGTCTTTGTACATGTCTGTAATATCACTTGCGAGCAAAACATGCCATATAACATACTGATAAATAAGTTAAAAGTTCTGGTCCTTGAATCTGATTGGCTGAGAGGAGTGCAGCATTCTAGTGATAACAGAACTCCAACCGTTTCACCATTTGAATCACTCCGCTTGCAGTATTTCTCACAGCGAGTGTCATGGCGGATGCCAAAATACACTATCATTTTAAAAAATAATACTATTTTTGTGTCACAGAATGTAGTTTTTTAGGTGAGAATGTACTTGTTTAGAACTTCAAATATGCGTTTTGTTAATAAAGGTAATGTCTATTTGAAAATTTGCTTCAACGTTTTCAAAGATGTGAGCTCCAGGGCGTCAGCGGCCGATCAGCGCCCATGAACCCACTGAGAGCA